TGTCTTCCTGTCCCGACCACCTGAACCCTTCTTTTAGTAATGACTCGACCATCTTGTTGTTTATCATCATATTTACTTTCTTCTTATAACTCAATTCCCACTTGGGATCTCTTTGATGTATGTAAGTTATTAAATCTAAAATGTCGTTATCATGTCTCGTGTGTTCCTACTGCCCTCCAGTATATACTTCCCTCACTTTTGACGTTCCATTCCGGAGCTGCATACTCAGAATTTGGTCTGACATACGTTGTGTACGGGAATTCAGAAGGATCTTTGCTTACGTTTGTACAGATTATTTTGTGTATACTGTGAGGAGCTCTGAGGTTGTGGGCTGTGTGGTCCTTCATACAGAACAGAGAAGCAGCACATTGTATACCTAAGCTTCTTAATAAAGAAAATCAGTAATAAAGGTTTTAAATTATAGCTTGTATTATTATTATTATTATTATTATTATTACCAGTATTATCCTAATTAATTCCTGGTTGCAAGGGTTGTTATAGCCGGGGGGGGGGGGGGAAGGGTTGTAGAGATAAGCTCCCACAGCCTGTAAAGTGCCCCTGATGGCGGGCGTCTCAAGTAGCCTGTGACAACCAAGTCCAGCTCCTGGCCTGCACCTGTGGCTTAGCCTCTAGGCCTGGCGGAACTGCTGCTACCAACAGGAGAAGGGGCGAAGGCCGGTCTCTGGCGCCTTAAAACCAGTTGCTTCGGCCAGATGGGACTCGTTATCCTGGGAAGGCAGCTCATCTAGGGGAAGGAAAACCCCGAATTCAAACCTCTGCTGTCTTGTGGCTAAACCCACTCATGGGAAAGACTTCGGGAGTCAACCCTGAGGAAAAATCCGGAGTCGGAGTGCCTAAGGCAGTTTGCAGCTGTTTACAGCTACATTCTGGCAATTCCTGCGACGACACTGGTGCCAAGCGTATCGGCGCCTGCCCTTCCCTTGGATCATATCGGTGGCGTGGAGAGGGTGGATCTGCTGCATGGGCAACAGCCGGTCCTCCATAGTTACTGCCCAGGCCTGTGTCCTGGAGAGGACACTCCAGCACCGCCTTGGCGATGGTTCAACACGGGAGGCGACAGTTACCGGTGATAAGCCTACCACACAACTGGCGTAGAGTGAGGCGTCAGGGGTTGCTTCCATCAGTGGGAGAAATCACCTGATTTCATAGGACAGCTGCCGCCCGCCTCAAGCTGGGCAGCCCCCAGCCAATAAGGTGCTGTCCCGCTACGGTCCGCCTGCTCCACTGGGTGCGTGGGGCTTAGGCCACAGTCCAATAAGCGGATCGTCAACCCATGCACCAGGCAAAAGAAAACAAACACAGAGCCACCCAGCTCTCAAACTGGGCACGTGGAATGTAAGGACCAAGACACCGGGTATCTCAGGAGATCTACTGGAAGTGAACGACGCCCTCAAGACAGCTGTGATCAACAATGAACTACGCAGGCTCCAGATGGACATAGTCGCCCTGCAGGAGACACGTCTGCCCGCGACCAGCAACATACGGGAGAAGGACTTTACCTTCTGCTGGCAGGGCAAACCACCAGAAGAGGTAAGGGAGCATGGCGTTGGCTTTGCCATCAGGAACAGGTTGTTAGGGTCCATAGTACCGGCCACGGAGGGGTCTGCAAGGGTCATCAAACTTCAGCTTCATACAGCAGTAGGAATGGTCAGCATTATCAACGTCTATGCCTATGCCAATACATACATATTGGGGGGGGGTAGATTGTGATGCCCCGAAATCACCTCAAGATAACCCCCCCCCCACATTCCACCCTTCTTCTTCCATCTGCCCCGTGACCCTCTTCAGTCCCCATCCCCTTCATCCTTCCCACTATCCCCTGCTTCCCTCTCTCTTTTATAACAGTCCATAACAGTCCATATAGTCATAATTATAGGCCTAAGTATTCAATGACAAACGTTTTTGAAGTTTTACCCTTACCCTAACCTAACCTAACCTACCCTAACCTAACCTAACCTAACCTAACCTAACCTACCCTAACCTAACCTAACCTAACCTACCCTAACCTAACCTAACCTAACCTACCCTACCCTAACCTAACCTAACCTAACCTAGCCTAACCTACCCTAACCTACCCTAACCTAACCTAACCTAACCTACCCTAACCTAACCTAACCTAACCTACCCTAACCTAACCTAACCTAACCTACCCTAACCTAACCTAACCTAACCTAACCTAACCTAACCTAACCTACCCTAACCTAACCTAACCTAACCTAGCCTAACCTACCCTAACCTAACCTAACCTAACCTAACCTAACCTACCCTAACCTAACCTAACCTAACCTAACCTAACCTACCCTAACCTACCCTAACCTAACCTAACCTAACCTACCCTAACCTAACCTAACCTAACCTAGCCTAACCTACCCTAACCTACCCTAACCTACCCTAACCTACCCTACCCTAACCTACCCTAACCTAACCTAACCTAACCTAACCTAACCTAACCTACCCTAACCTAACCTAACCTAACCTAACCTAACCTAACCTAACCTAACCTAACCTAACCTACCCTAACCTAACCTAACCTAACCTAACCTAACCTAACCTAACCTAACCTAACCTAACCTACCCTAACCTAACCTAACCTAACCTAACCTACCCTAACCTAACCTAACCTAACCTAACCTAACCTAACCTACCCTAACCTAACCTAACCTAACCTAACCTAACCTAACCTACCCTAACCTAACCTAACCTAACCTAACCTACCCTAACCTAACCTAACCTAACCTAGCCTAACCTACCCTAACCTACCCTACCCTACCCTAACCTAACCTACCCTAACATAATTTGTGCAGCATATTTTTCTTTTATCTCACCCAGATTTAATTTAAAAATAAAACCAAACAAAATAAATTAAAAACGGGTATGTATAGCTAAGGTACACCCCCCTAGCTATACTTATTGCTAGGTGAACAGGAGCATTTGGTGATAGTAAATGCTCCCACCAGCCAGGGATCATCATCTACTCTCATATTTCATGTTCACCAGCGTTTATTTACTTAATAACAACTGGAATAATATCTTGCTATTATAAAACTAATTCTAATATCATAAAAGACATATTTACCACATGAGACCAGAAGACATGGCAGGATGTGCAGAATACCCCCGTTGAAAAGCAGAGGTGCAACAGGTACTCTGAGAGAGAACTCTATCAACATCAGAGGCCCGAGACTGTTCAACACGCTTCCACTACACATAAGGGACATAACTGGCAAACCCCTCACAGTGTTCAAGAGAGAACTGGATAAGCACCTCCAAAGGATACCTGATCAACCAGGCTGTGACTCATACGTCAGGCTGCGAGCAGCCGCGTCTAACAGCCTGGTTGATCAGTCCAGCAACCAGGAGGCCTGGTCGACGACCGGGCCGCGGGGACACTAAGCCCCGGAAGCACCTCAAGGTAGCCTCAAGGTAGGTACTACAAGTTACAAGCAGATAATGCTTATCTAACTAACACGAAGGACTCTTCGATGAGACTCACCTGTAAACATATTTGTTTACGTTAAAATTGATCCTCCGGGTTGTGTAGTAGAGAAAAATTTAGTTATAGCCAGCTTACATAAAGCTACGACTGGTGTAGAGCGCTCTTAGACAGTGTCGTGGTGTATCTTGGAACTACCAAGTGAGCACGTTCGAATCCTTCTCATGGCTACTACTAATTTTCTCAATAATAAAATAATGATGATAATAATTCTCAATGCAACAAAAATATTACTCCGTGAGCCTCTTACTGGATTAAATCTCCTCTTACAAGTCATATGTAAGGCCAACACTCCTTACAGTAATCCGCTGTATAAGGTACTGAAGATCCACAGGTCTAGATTGGTTTTTTAAGGTATCGAATCCTCGTTAATCTTTGTGTTAGCGCGACTGGAGCCCCCCTGAGAGATAGGCTTCTGGGGGGCCCCCCGTGGTGATTGTGTTATCATAGATGATAAGATATCTAGCGGAGGGAGGAGGTGTGATAGCCAGCACACCAGTAGTGAACCACGCATTTCCTCGTTAACTCTTAACAACCCAACGATGGTCAGACCCATCAAACAGGTGGAGTCCCTCGAGGTGGACTCCCAACGGCAGCCACAACGGCAGCCACAACGGCAGCCACAACAGCAGCCACAACAGCAGCAGCAACGGTCTCAACAGCACCCACCTCGGCTCCTCAGTGAACAGCAACATCCACAACAACAACATCAACATCCTTCGCTGCTTCATATTCCACAGCATCAACAGGTAAGACTAAGTCATCAACAGGTAAGGCTGCGTCATCAACGGGTAAGGCTGCGTCCTCAACAGGTAAGGCTGCGTCCTCAACAGGTAAGTCTATGTTGCTGAAGTCAGAACACTAGGACTGGTCTAGAGTGTGGTGACGCAATGATTGCGTCACCGTCAGGGAAATGTTGCGTCCTATTCTATCCCTTGTCTTACTCAGAGGAATGTTAACGTTCTGCGTCCCATTTCCTTGCGTCCAATTACCAGCCAATTCGTTTGCGTCTTCAAGAATATAGATTCAATAAAGACCGCATAATCTGGCCTTACTGAACTTATTAACTTTATTTTCAAAATACCTTTTTATTACACTACTTTTTTTTAATCTATTCCTAGCTATTTTGTGTGTTTTGATCCTTGATCTATTTTGTATTCATATTTCTAGCTCGTTAATAATATCCCGTCTCTCCATGTTGTATACTTTTATACATATGTATACTCCCCTTTACCTTTCGTCTATCAAGAAAATGTAAGTTTAAGCTTTTTATCTATTATTTTATCTATTAATCTCCCATATTTCTTTCTTTTTCCTTCGACTGCAATTTCCAGTTCCTTTCATGGGTTATAGAATTGTCTATGTAAGTTAACACAGTAAGAAGCTCACGTAGAAATATATTTTTATTTCATTGAGAATTATTATTATTATTATTATTATTATTATAATAATCCGCATATTTCCATCACCCTTAGAAGCAATTAGAGGCAATTAGAACAACTCCAAGATGGGAGGAGGCAATTATCAAGGGGTAAGCGCCAAGCCATAACGACTGTTTAGCACTGGGATGGGATCAGGATAAGGATTTGGGATGGTAAGGGGGTTGGAGGGGAGGAATGGTGGCCCAACTGCTTGGACGGTCGGGGATTGAACGCCGACCTGCATGAAGGTGAGAGAGAAGTCGTGTGCGTCGTAAGCTAGAATTGAATTTCTTTCAATTTCTTTCTATATTATGCTAGAGACAGTCCACAACAGCAACAAAGGAAAACCGGCATATAAAATCCTTTACTTTTATGTCAAATATGAATTTATGTAATATGAATATTTATGTAATATGAATATTTATGTAATATGAATATTTATGTAATATGAATTTATGTAATATGAATATTTATGTAATATGAATATTTATGTAATATGAATATTTATGTAATATGAATTTATGTAATATGAATATTTATGTAATATGAATATTTATGTAATATGAAAAAAAAGATTTTATATACCTAATAGGAAAAAATATTTTTTTGGTTTGTATCTAATAATTTAGAACATTACTTTATATATATATATATACTACAGGATACCAAAAATTGTCCATCTAATAGGATAAAACAGTATTTTTCGTATATCTAATAGAAAAACAAATCTATATATGTTCTTTTTGATCTGATCTTGTATCATTGCTAAAACATAAGACCCACAGGAAACTGCAGAAGGCTTATACTGGCCCCATATACGAGTCACTTATTTATATCCACCCAAACTCATTCATATATATGTCTAACTTACGCTTGAAACAATCAAGGGACTCAACGTCTGTCATGTGCCCCGGTAATTGGTTCCATACATCGACAGCCCTGTTACCAAACCAAGTCTTTCCTTACTGTAAATTTATCCAATTTATATATATTTTTGTGTGTTCTATTGTGTGTTGACACGCCCCCCCCCCCCTCCGCCAACATCACTCCACTAACTGGCGGGATAAAAATAGTCAGAGGATTCTAAATAGGTTTAGAATAGGTGGGTCTAAATAGGTTTAGAGTTCTAAATAGGTGGTTTAGTATAGGCTTCTTGACGAACTGATCGCGGCGTGGATTAATTATCTTATCCTTAAATTATCCTTAAATTATCCTTAAACACGTACAGTGAAATGGTAAAGTTAAGCCCATGCTTCAGTAAGCTGGTGTAAATGGAACGTAAATAAGCCTACACAGTCAAACGAGGCAAAGAGCAAAGACTGACAACTAAGGTGGATCATCCAATAAAATCAGCAGACTTCTAGATGTTACTACTGCTCGGCTTAGACTCGGTTACAAGTATCTCTGGGAATTCTCATTATCTGCTGATGTAGACCTGACCAAATGTAAACTGTGTCAACAAAATTATTCGCACACCCTCCGTCACTATATGATGGAGTGCGAAAAGATACGTGAATTTAGAGACAATTCTATAACCAATGTTCCAACGATGTGTAAATATTTCATTCAAAATGATCTGCTACCAGAAATTTTAGCCAAATATCCCCAGTTTGCTAACTGTAGGTAGTAACTAAGTGATTGTAACCTATCCACCGCTGCCCACTGGATGGGGGGCGGTGTGCAGGACAAACATATCAATTGTGACACTAGCTCTCCACATATGTCAGTTCCTTAATTTAGAAACTGTACTTGAGGTCGATCTCGAACCCATTGTTGATGTGACGACTTATATTGAATTTTGTAACTAGCTCATCAAGATTGTAACTTGCTTAGCTAAATGAATTGTGGGGTTCAGTCCCTGAGCCCATTATGTGCCTCTGTAACCCTTTCCACTACCGCCTACAAGATGGGTATGGGGTGCATAATAAATGAACTAAACTAACTCGAAGCATGGAATCTGAAATGAGAAGTTTGGTTTAAGATGACACCTGAGCAATCACAGGTGTGGGAGCGAGGTGGAGCTGGAACACGCGTTCGATCCCACCGCACTACCGCAATATTTCCTCACTGATAACTCGCGCGCATTGTGGGAGTCACTCTGCACTCAGATCTGTGGAATGTGTAACCCGGATATATGGAGAGACTGTGTCACGCTGGACTGTGTCACGCTGGACTGTGTCAAGCTGGACTGTGTCACGCTGGACTGTGTCAAGCTGGACTGTGTCACGCTGGACTGTGTCACGCTGGACTGTGTCACGCTGGACTGTGTCACGCTGGACTGTGTCAAGCTGGACTGTGTCACGCTGGACTGTGTCAAGCTTGACTGTGTCACGCTGGACTGTGTCAAGCTGGACTGTGTCACGCTGGACTGTGTCAAGCTGGACTGTGTCACGCTGGACTGTGTCACGCTGGACTGTGTCAAGCTGGACTGTGTCACGCTGGACTGTGTCAAGCTGGACTGTGTCACGCTGGACTGTGTCAAGCTGGACTGTGTCACGCTGGACTGTGTCACGCTGGACTGTGTCAAGCTGGACTGTGTCAAGCTGGACTGTGTCAAGTGGACTGTGCCCAGCTGGACTGTGCCCAGCTGGACTGTGTCAAGTGGACTGTGCCCAGCTGGACTGTGTCAAGTAGACTGTGCCCAGCTGGACTGTGTCAAGTAGACTGTGCCCAGCTGGACTGTGTCAAGTGGACTGTGCCCAGCTGGACTGTGTCAAGCACAGTCTTGTGGAACTTAACTCTCAGGTTAGGCCGGATGTGAGATACCAGCAACAGTCTTGTGGAACTTAACTCTCAGGTTAGGCCGGATGTGAGATACCAGCAACAGTCTTGTGGAACTTAACTCTCAGGTTAGGCCGGATGTGAGATACCAGCAACAGTCTTGTGGAACTTAACTCTCAGGTTAGGCCGGATGTGAGATACCAGCAACAGTCTTGTGAAACATTAGGATGAGAGTGATATCATTTTTTGGAACCAAGGTTGAGTGATAACATTTTTTAAACTAGGATAAGAATTATAATATTTTTGGAGGCTGGTACGATAGGGAGATCATTTTTGAAGGTTACGACGAGTAATAGTAATTTTGGAGGCTTAATGGGTGAGAGTACATTGAATGCTAGGATGAGAGTGAGAGTACTTTCTGAGGCTACCGTGGGAGTGTGAGCATGTTAGAGTCTAGGATGAGAGTGAGAGATTTTGAGGTCATTAATTACTTGTCATTTTCTTTTCAGCTGAATCCATTATCGACTGAAGAAGTTGAATCATGTCTGGAGGTGTGTTCCTCCGACCCGCTCCCTGGACCGGTCGTCAGTGTCCAGTCACTGCCCGCACAACACAGTCACTCCACCAGTCAGCTGACCTGCACAGCTGGTCCACAGGACAGTTCAATATGTGGTGCAGGGAGCGATCTCCATGGTGGAGCAGGCAAGCAAGCAGCCAGCTTCTTGTTGCAGCAACAGAGCTGCAGTCAACAGTTACAACTGGTCAATGATCAGCAACAGCAGCAGGGCAACAGTCTGAATCACCAGCTTAACAGCAGTCTGCCACACAGCCAATTACCGCTCACTGTCTCACAGGAGTCGAGTCAAACTCTGCGTCAGGGTAGCCAGCCAGGGGACCATCCCTATCCCCTGCAGCCTACACTGGGGTCCTCAGGGGCCCACTACGGGCCCACACCAACCTCAAGAATTATACAGCAGTCACCCCATGTGCCCACACTCCCGCCCACGCCACACCCTCAACTCCCACTCCCTGAGAGCAACCGTTATGGGGGCTCTGTTGCTATCTATGTCCCCCCGAATGAACGAAAAGATTTTCCACTTTTTTCCACCGCCAATTGGTCTTATTCCGGGAAGGGAAGCCTGAGTAGTGGGGACTCCATTGGCAACTTGTTGACAAACGGATGCAACAAAGAGGGGGACAAAATAGATGGATTGATTGCAGGGATGAACCCTCCTAGGAGCCCGCCTGTTGCACAGTTTCCCCAGAGGGAGAGGATTGTGGGGGAGTATGGTCTGGGTGTGTCCTTCTTGGGACAGTCCCCCAAGCTGGTGGTGGTAAGTGGTCTTCCGTTCTCTTTGTCTTAGAAAGGTCCAACTGGGAAGCATTTAAACACCAATGTCAATCAGCACAGATATAGGATTATAAGTAGTTAAGGAATCAATATATTATTCCAACATAAAGGGAGCTATTTAAATTCAAAATTTTATTCTTAATGTTTGAAATTTTTAATTCAGTTAATGTACACAAAATTACAATAAAATGTTTACATAAAGCCATATTCCCAGTATGACATATATTCATTATAATTACATATTATATGTTGGCAAATTGCCCCTAACCATAATTACTTTGTTGTTAAAATAAAACTCAAATTAAGAAAAATGTTAAAGCTTGCATAATTACAGTTACCTGTAACAAGAATAAAAAGCTTACATACTGCCGCCTTCGACACACCCAATGAACGAGCTCACACTAGGTCATCAGTACTTACCAATATCTTCTTCCTCAGCTTAGTATTCTTTTTAGAATCGTAAATTTGCATTCGTGTGAGCACAGTTGAAAGTTTTGCTTGGTCCTGGACGACATACTAATATAAGGTATAAGTGTTGGTTGATCAGTTAGCTTACTGTGGTTGCCTTAGCAACCCACCAGAGGTTGAATAAGGCGCTCAGCCCAAAACGAAAGCCAGCAGCTGTCGTAGTTACGAGACTTGATGAAAGAATCATATACACCGATGAGTATTCCACCGCGTATTGTTGTATATACATTGAAAATATAAATTAGTTGGAAATTGTTGCTCTTGGGCCCCGCCAGTGTGGACGGGGCCGCTGGCATGATGGTGGTGACGCTGTCCATAAACGGATTTAATAAACCCCGATATAAAGTACAGCTTGAGATGATGTAACGTTCAAGTTGGTAATTATAAAACCCTAAATGTGTAACAAGTTACAGCGTGATGTGACAGTAAACTTAAGAATAGATAAAGTGTTGCTACGCATTACATTGTGTCCCCTAATCTTACGCATCTCTTATCTTGCGCCTCATCTTATGGGCCCCTAATCTTACGAACTTCTAGTCTTAATCCAGCCTCTCTAGATCTCAGGCTGTACGTCTAATCCAGTTTAAATTGTATTCATTTAAAACACATTGACTTCCATGCCATGATGTCGGTCTGTCCTCCATGTGAACAGACATCTATCCACTCACAGATGAAAGGGCTAGGGGGTCGTATGCCTGCATGACCGTCCCCTCCTCACCCCTCTCTCTCTCTCTCTCCCTCCCCACAGAACGAGGAGGGAGACAGCCAGCACCTGTACACCGAGAAGAACCACCCCATAACCATGGTGGTGACCCACACCGCCGGACAGAGCGCCTCGCTCAGACTACTACTGGTGTTCGCCAAGGACTCTGAGGCCTCCCAGCCCGTCCACCCTTGTAAGATCCACCAGGACCCAGCTCATCCTAGTAAGGTTCTTGTCTTCCTAGTTCCTTGTCTTCCTAGTAAGTTCCTTGTCTTCCTAGTAAGCTCCTTATGCAGGCGATGAGTCACAATTACGTGGCTAAAGTATGTTGACCAGACCACACACTAGAAGGTGAAGGGACGACGACGTTTCGGTCCGTCCTGGACCATCCTCGAGTCAATTGAGAATGGTCCAAGACGGACCGAAACGTCGTCGTCCCTTCACCTTCTAGTGTGTGGTCTGGTCAACAAGCTCCTTATCTTCCTAGTAAGCTCCTTGTCTTCCAAGTAAGCTTGTTATCTTCCTAGTACTTGCATTATGAGTTGGTTATTTCCTTATACACCTGATGCATCTGTTCACCTAGCAGTCAATAGGTACCCGGGGGGGGGGGCAAGTCAACTATTGTGGGGTTACATCCTGGGAGGTCAATATTGGCTTAGGGGGGGTTGAGAGAACCTTAACAGTCTTCCTGTCCCAGACTAGGAAAAGGCATTAATAACCCTTCCACTACTCCCTCCCACAGTCTCTGAAGCCTCTAGCTGTCACTCACCTCTCCCACAGTGTGTGACGCCCCTCTGTCCTCCCACAGTGTGTGACGCCCCTCTGTCCTCCCACAGTGTGTGACGCCCCTCTGTCCTCCCACAGTGTGTGACGCCCCTCTGTCCTCTCACAGTGTGTGACGCCCCTCTGTCCTCTCACAGTGTGTGACGCCCCTCTGTCCTCCCACAGTGTGTGACGCCCCTCTGTCCTCCCACAGTGTGTGACGCCCCTCTGTCCTCCCACAGTGTGTGACGCCCCTCTGTCCTCTCACAGTGTGTGACGCCTCTCTGTCCTCTCACAGTGTGTGACGCCCCTCTGTCCTCTCACAGTGTGTGACGCCCCTCTGTCCTCCCACAGTGTGTGACGCCCCTCTGTCCTCCCACAGTGTGTGACGCCTCTCTGTCCTCCCACAGTGTGTGACGCCCCTCTGTCCTCCCACAGTGTGTGACGCCCCTCTGTCCTCCCACAGTGTGTGACGCCCCTCTGTCCTCCCACAGTGTGTGACGCCCCTCTGTCCTCCCACAGTGTGTGACGCCCCTCTGTCCTCCCACAGTGTGTGACGCCTCTCTGTCCTCCCACAGTGTGTGACGCCCCTCTGTCCTCCCACAGTGTGTGACGCCCCTCTGTCCTCCCACAGTGTGTGACGCCTGTCTGTCCTCCCACAGAACACATGGTGGTGGTGGATGGTGGGGTGGAGACGGTCGTGTGGGGGGAGGCGCCCCACCCGTCCATCGTGGTCACCCCGCCCCCCTCACACCTGCAGCAGTACAGCGTGGTCATCAAGTTCCTGTGTCGTAACTCCTGCCTCACCCGCCGGGACCTCTCCCTCGTCGTCCAGCTGGAGCAGGAGTGAGTGAGGGGTGAGGGGGGGAGGGGGGTGGGAGAGGGGTGAGGGGGAGGGGTAGGGGTGAGGGGGGAGGGGGAGGGGGAGGGGGAGGTGAGGGAAGGGGGTGGGGGGTATTCCAGTACCCACCTGTGTGTAAAACTAGTACAATTAGTGACCCCTATTAAACATTTGTCTAGGTAAAAATCGAGCATTTCATTTGACGATTAACGAAACCTGTATATCTTTCTTCAATCATTGCGACTTATAGTTTACATATTAAACAGTCATGAGAATTCGAAACCGGGATTCCCGATTGTGATTCGAACACGAAGCCAGCTGTACTACTGAGACCTTCAATATAGACCCGGGGCCAGATTCACGAAAGCACTTACGCAAGCACTTACGAACGTGTACATCTTTCCTCAATCTTTGATGGCTTTGGTTACATTTATTAAACAGTTTACAAGCATGAAAACTTGCCAATCAACTGTTGTTATTGTTATAAACAGCCTCCTGGTGCTTCGGAGCTCATTAACTGTTTAATAATTGTAAACAAAGCTGCCAAAGATTGAGAAAAGATGTACACGTTCGTAAGTGCTTGCGTAAGTGCTTTCGTGAATCTGGCCCAAGGCCGTCATGTCCGAGGGGAGATGTATAGGTTGTGGAATATTTTCCACCACCATTATACCATGTGTAACATGGTGTATGGAAGCACATATGGGCCAGGCATAGTTATGTATAGAACAAGCCAAGTTCTCGCCAGATAGAGACATTGTCAAATAAGCAATTACAACCATTTTGTGAGCACCATCACAAAAGTCCTCTTTAATGAATCCATATCAGGACATGTAATTATATCTAACAGCTGTAAGCATATCATTGTAATACGCCAAAATAAATGCATATAGTCAATAAATAATTGCTTAGCTAAATACGTTTGGTTAACATTTGTATAAATAGATCATTAAAAGCGGCGGGGCGAGGATACCCGCCTTGGGGTGGATCGCAGTGTGTGTCCAGACGCTGCTACACCAGGGTAAACATTGCTCCTCCACCACCACACACTCCACCAGGCTGCTGTATTTGCCGCCGATTAACAACGGTGGACCTGACTACTGGTGGTGTAAACTGCTCATACAATGTGCCTAATAAGCAAGACACTGTTTAACGTGACATAAAGGTGCGTCTTGCCAAGAAACAATGAGACAGGTGTGTGTGACACACCAACGCCACAGCAGCGACGCCTCACTCTCACACACACAATTAAGGGCTCACCATAGCCCGTGCTGCTTGGAACTTTTTGTTCCGGGTAGCGAATCATAAACAAGAAACAACTCTCTCACACACAAACAAGATGCTACTCACCTTATGGGGGACACTCCATGGTCGTACAAGCTTAGTTATAGCTGTTTATCTTCCGACAACCCCTAGTTGGTAGTGTAAAATTACACATAAATGTGTATTAACATTAAGGCACACTAATTTTATGAAACAAGAGTGTCTTACCATAAAGTGTGAGTGGAGTGTGAACACTGCCTGAAGCCAGAAGCCATAGGTGTCAACACACCATCCCAACATCATTAGTGAACACCAATACCAGCTCAGGCCCAGCTAGCGGGCCAAGTGTTAGTACTATAAGACTGAGCTCCGTACATGCATCTTCCTAAAGTCAGGGAAGGTTGGTGGTGGTGTAGTAATTAGAGATTGGAGCCAATGTGTTTTTGTGCCACTAAACTCATTATATTACAGGTGCGGTTATCACCATGAGCTTACGAGCTCACCTCACTAAGTCAATTACTTGCAATTAAATTAAATCAATATTAACTAAGTTAATCAGTGATTGACACATATTTGATATATTGCAATAACTTAAAGACAAATTACAGTATACATTTGCAATAGACAATTTCATATCATTACATAACGTTGTCATTGTTTATAATAATTCATATGTGGCAAGATACCAGATTAAAAGGATAGACTAAAATAATTTATAGCCCTATCAGTGCTGCTGCATTATACATATTACATTTTAGAGAGTGGTTATCTTGAGATGATTTCGGGGCTTTAGTGTCCCCGCGGCCCGGTCCTAGATCAGGCCTCCACCCCCAGGAAGCAGCCCGTGACAGCTGACTAACACCCAGGTACCTATTTACTGCTAGGTAACAGGGGCATTCAGGGTGAAAGAAACTTTGCCCATTTGTTTCTGCCTCGTGCGGGAATCGAACCCGCGCCACAGAATTACGAATCCTGCGCGCTATCCACCAGGCTACGAGGCCCCTTCTCGGGGGCCTCGGTGGTAAGTGGAGCTCTTTCCATTCAACAGATAAATGAAAGCAGCCCCATTTCTGTTGGATTTTCTGAAAACTGAGCCAATTAGGGAACTTAGAATAGATACAGTCCACTACCCCAAGAAGAAAGCAAGTTTCCCAGTGGCTAGTTCCTTATTTTAGGGAGTCAGAAGTTAAAAGAAATCCCACATAGGTCTCATATGAGGCTGCGCAGAATTCTTAATAAATCCTGGCCTTGGTTGTGAGTGCTCTTAACCACACACAATATCAACCTTAACTGACATATGTTGACCTAGTTCTTCTTTATTAACGGCGAGGGGGTATTGGTTTTAGTTGTGACCTCGTGTGACCTTGTGTGACCTCGTGTGACCTTGTGTGACCTTGCAGCGGGGGCGTGGTGGGTCGGGAAGCTCTGAGTGTCAAGATCAGCGCTTGTCCTAAACGGGACTCGAACCCCCGCAGCCGGAAGACCTCCCTCCACCACGAGGACCACGCTGGCCAGCTCCAAGCACTCCAGGACTCCTCTCTCAACCAGTTTCCATACCAGGACTCCTCCGCCAATGAGCAACAATTCCAGGACTCCTCCGTCAATCAGCAACAGTTCCAGGACTCCTCCGCCAATCAGCAACAGTTCCAGGACTCCTCCGCCAATCAGCAACAGTTCCAGGACTCCTCCGCCAATCAGCAACAGTTCCAGGACTCCTCCGCCAATCAGCAACAGTTCCAGGTGTCTTCTCCAAACCTACCAGTAATACAAGTCTCGTACACCAACCCGCATTCATTCCAAGACTCCAATCCAATGATGCAGGATGTCTCACGTCTGCCGCAGCCAACACAGGACTCATGCCGCAATTTCCAGCTGCCGCAGGACCGCTGGAACTCTCAAAAACCCGCCAGCAAGCGGCAAAAACTGGAGACGTGCCGCAAGGCCTCCTCTGCTGCGTCGTGTGGCTGTACCATGGAGGTAAGCACGCGGCCTTCGTACCCATGTCTGGAATTAATGTGTACCTTGACAAATGTTGTTTACATTTTGGAGGAATGTTGAAGGATTTTATCTTTGGATATCTTTGATGGTTAGAGATGAGGAACAGGTTACTTGGGTGATACACACTGAGAATATTGCTGTTAAACTGTATAGTTCATGTTTACAGGACATAAATGTCTATGTTTGTCTCTGTCTCTGTCTCTGTGTCTCTGTTTCTGTCTCTGTTGCTCTGTCTCTCTCTCTCTCCACTCCCGCCTCAGGGACTGTAAGACGTCCCTGTCAGTACAGTGGACGGACCTACAGTTAACCAGGTCACTGACAACAGTCTCGTCAGGGTTGACTGGAAAAAGTACAGACGAGGCTGTTATTAAGAGCAAAGTGGTAAAGTGTGTACCGCATTACCTTACTATTTATCAAGATCACTTGATCGCCTGCCACTGTATCTGCTCACTTCTCTCTCTCTCGCTGTTTACCTACACCTGTATTTTTGTGTATACTTTCACCAGAAGTTATAGGTGTATTTTCACCTATAACTGGGTATATACGTGCTCCTGAAGATGTGTATATGTGTTTGTATTTCCAACTGTAGCTGTGTACACACCAGCTGGTAGAATGGTGGCCCCTTCCACTCCTCTTTCTCCTGCACCTTTCCATTAGCCTTTCTGTTTCTGGCAGGCTGAAGGTGGGACAGAGAAAGGCGAGGTAACACCAGAGGCCGCCCACGTCCCCGCCCACGCCGCCGCCCACGCCGCCGCCCACGCCCCCGCCTACGAGGCCGCCCGACACACTGCGTACCTGACGGTAATGGAGGAAATATTCAAGAACCGTCACCCGGAGGACCACAGGGCCGCCATGGTGGAGTTCTCCCGCTGGTGGGGAAAGTCTTCTCCCCGGCCCCCCAGGTAGTCTCCCCGGCCCCCCAGGTAGTCTCCCCGGCCCCCAGATAGTCTCCCCGGCCCCCCAGGTAGTCTCCCCGGCCCCCAGGTAGTCTCCCCGGCCCCCCAGGTAGTCTCCCCGGCCCCTCAGGTAGTCTCCCCGGCCCCCAGGTAGTCTCCCCGGCCCCCAGGTAGTCTCCCCGGCCCCCCAGGTAGTCTCCCCGGCCCCCCAGATAGTCTCCCCGGCCCCCCAGGTAGTCTCCCCGGCCCCCCAAGATAGTCTCCCCGGCCCCCAGGTAGTCTCCCCGGTCCCCCAGGTAGTCTCCCCGGCCCCCCAGGTAGTCTCCCCGGCCCCCAGGTAGTCTCCCCGGCCCCCCAGGTAGTCTCCCCGGCCCCCAGGTAGTCTCCCCGGCCCCTCAGGTAGTCTCCCCGGCCCCCAGATAGTCTCCCCGTCCCCCCAGGTTGTCTCTCCGGCCCCCAGATAGTCTCCCCGGCCCCCAGGTAGTCTCCCCGGCCCCCAGATAGTCTCCCCGGCCCCCCAGGTAGTCTCCACGGCCCCCAGATAGTCTCCCCGGCCCCCAGATAGTCTCCCCGGCCCCCCAGGTAGTCTCCACGGCCCCCAGATAGTCTCCCCGGCCCCCCAGGTAGTCTCCACGGCCCCCAGATAGTCTCCCCGGCCCCCAGATAGTCTCCCCGGCCCCCAGGTAGTCTCCCCGGCCCCCAGATAGTCTCCCCGGCCCCCCAGGTAGTCTCCACGGCCCCCAGATAGTCTCCCCGGCCCCCAGATAGTCTCCCCGGCCCCCCAGGTAGTCTCCACGGCCCCCAGGTAGTCTCCCCGGCCCCCAGATAGTCTCCCCGGCCCCCCAGGTAGTCTCCACGGCCCCCAGATAGTCTCCCCGGCCCGCAGATAGTCTCCCCGGCCCCCAGATAGTCTCCCCGGCCCCCCAGGTAGTCTCCCCGGCCCCCCAGGTAGTCTCCACGGCCCCCAGATAGTCTCCTCGGCCCCCCAGATAGTCTCCACGGCCCCCAGATAGTCTCCCCGGCCCCCCAGGTAGTCTCCACGGCCCCCAGATAGTCTCCCCGGCCCCCAGATAGTCTCCCCGGCCCCCAGATAGTCTCCCCGGCCCCAGATAGTCTCCCCGGCCCCCCAGGTAGTCTCCACGGCCCCCAGATAGTCTCCCCGGCCCCCCAGATAGTCTCCACGGCCCCCAGATAGTCTCCTCGGCCCCCCAGATAGTCTCCACGGCCCCCAGATAGTCTCCCCGGCCCCCCAGGTAGTCTCCACGGCCCCCAGATAGTCTCCCCGGCCCCCAGATAGTCTCCCCGGCCCCCAGATAGTCTCCCCGGCCCCCCAGGTAGTCTCCCCCACATATTGCCCTCCGCACAAGTGCCAAGAATGTTAATGGATGTGTATACATATACATATTAGTATATGTATACACAGAAACAAATGTATATTATTACACATATAATTATCTGTGATTTTTCGGTACAAACATCATAAAATTTAATAATCTAAGATAATAAAATATTCTAAAAAAATTAAATAAGCTATAAATATAATTAAATAATCTTAGAAAATATTTAAACAATCGTAGAAAATTATACAATAATTTTAGAAAATAATTGAAGATTTAGAAAATAAATATATAATCCAAGACAATAAATAAATAATCTTATAAAACATTTAACCAAATAAATTATATTTTTAAATTATAAAAATATTTTATAAAACTATATAATTACTTTCCTCGTATATTAATTTTTTTCTTCAATTATTAATTATTTTTCATAGATTAATCTCAAGAAAGCAAATGATATATTTCAAGGTAATTAATCAATATCAGGAAAGTCGCTTAAAGTGCGAGAATAAGTGTATATAATACCCGGTGAGTACTGTAGCTGCACTCTGTAGTGCTCAGAGTGGTCACTCCACTTCTGTAGCATATCGTGGTTCAGTGGGTTAAGGCGTGCGCTTGGCAGTGTTAAGTGTGCGGGTTCGAGTCCCCCTCGTATGGCTCCTACTGATTATCTCAATATTATTATTATTATTATTATTATTATTATTATTATTATTATTCTTTTTGTAAAATGAAATAAAATAAATGTATTAATCTAATAAAGTGTAGTTTGAATGGTATATATATATATATATATATATATATATATATATATATATATATATATATATATATAATATATAGGAATGATTGGCTTTTGTGTTCTAAACATTTCATTCACTTAGGCACTATAGGAGACTCGAACCCTCGACCCCTAGACTGTGAGGCGGAGGGTTGCCAGTTATAACCACAACCGCTACACCAGAGGGTTGTGGCCACTCTCACAACCTGTCCTCAGGCCAGGCTCTGAGCCTATAGGTCAATACTAAACACGAGGTCATCACGTATTGGTATTCTCTGAGATATAGATTAATATGTACTAGAATATGTTGACTAATTAGTAACCTGTGGTGCAATGGTAAGACACTCGCTAGGCATTTAGCGAGCGCTTTTGGCCTAGGTTCGTATCCTGGCCGGGGAGGATTGAATGGGCACCAGTCTTCAACTGTAGCCTCTGTTCACCCAACAGTAAATTGTGTACCTGGTTGTTAAACGATTTAGCGGGTTGTATTCCAGGGAATAATTAGGATTAAGGACCTGCCCGAAACGCTACGCGTACTAGTGGCTGTACAAGAATGTAACAACTCTTGTATATATCAATAAAATACACAAAAAAAATTTAAACGTAGGGCATGAACGCGGGGCATGAACGCAGGGCATGAACGCGGGGCATGAACGCGGGGCATGAACGCGGGGCATGAACGCGGGGCATGAACGCGGGGCATGAACGCGGGGCATGAACGTAGGGCATGAACGCGGGGCATGAACGCGGGGCATGAACGCGGGGCATGAACGCGGGGCATGAACGCAGGGCATGAACGCGGGGCATGAACGCGGGGCATGAACGCGGGGCATGAACGCAGGGCATGAACGCGGGGCATGAACGCGGGGCATGAACGCAGGGCATGAACGCGGGGCATGAACGCGGGGCATGAACGCAGGGCATGAACGCGGGGCATGAACGCAGGGCATGAACGCGGGGCATGAACGCGGGCATGAACGCGGGGCATGAACGCAGGGCATGAACGCGGGGCATGAACGTAGGGCATGAACGCAGGGCATGAACGCGGGGCATGAACGTAGGGCATGAACGCGGGGCATGAACGCAGGGCATGAACGCGGGGCATGAACGTAGGGCATGAACGCGGGGCATGAACGCAGGGCATGTGTTGAAAATTTCCAACACCCAAATACTAAACCCCTAGTGCAATAATATTAATTTATTGTACTAAGAATTATAATTTACTAATACTACTAACAAGTAGTATTAGTAAATGATGGTGTAGTGCCATCCAATTGTTATTAATATGAGACTTAATACCGTCAAATTCTTCCTATTATTCCTGGCTGCGATTGCGTCAGCCGCCCGGCTCTCACGAGAATAACTGTGTAAATATAAATTATTATTATTATTATTATTATTATTATTATTATTTTTTTTTTTTTTTTTTTTTTTTAGATGCTTGGAATTTTATATAGAAGAGTTGTTACATTCTTGTAGAGCCACTAGTACGCGTAGCGTTTCGGGCAAGTCCTTAATCCTATGGTCCCTGGAATACGATCCCCTGCCGCGAAGAATCGTTTTTTCATCCAAGTACACATTTTACTGTTGCGTTAAACAGAGGCTACAGTTAAGGAATTGCGCCCAGTAAATCCTCCCCGGCCAGGATACGAACCCATGACATAGCGCTCGCGGAACGCCAGGCGAGTGTCTTACCACTACACCACGGAGACTGTTATTATCGAATTAAACCCAGTCTAACCTTGTTGAATTTAAGGAGTAAAGATTGGCAATTGATATAATTCAATTCAGCAAATTATATCGATGTTTAATGGTAAAATTTTCCACAGCTGTAATCGGCTGATCCAGTAAACAAATGTCATGAACTGTATTTCACCAACGTATATAGGTAATTCATCTAGGAACACTTAGGTTTAATGAAATACACAGCCAGAAAAGGTCTGTTGTTACCCAAAGTACGTTATTGTGACGTAAAATAACGTCGACAATGTCTCCTTTTAATAGAAAATTTGAACAAAATATTGTGAATTATATGCCAAGTTTACACTTTTCGGCGCCAGGTGGCGCGCGGAACACTGTCGAGAGAGACTTGGCCGAGAGAGGAGCCATATTGAATTTGTGTTCTGAAGTTGGTCTTCATTATCGTCTGTTTATAGGAACATCCGTGCATTATCGTACTTCAGACTGACCTCACAACTTCATCTTATCGAGGACACTGTGTTCGGCAGGCTAAATATCCCCAGAATAATTTATTGTGGCCATGATTTATTGTTAACTTAGGGGTGCCGTGCCGTTATGCTAAAGGAACATCAAAAAAACACCCGTGAGTGTAATTACCATACCCAGTCAGCTTTAATTTTACGAGTATGTGTGTGTGTAAATATACACTCCTATATAGAAGTTATATAAGATTAATTTTGCAGCGTGGAGCTATCTACAAGAGAAGCGTCGCTCATTCTGGTGCATCACGTGTCTCCAGAGGCAACACACATTGACAGGATTAGATGAGTTACCAAGAGTTGTCTGACGTTTCTACGTTCACTATTAGACAGCTAAGCTTCTAGTTTACTAATAACTAAGTAGTTAGCGTACTAACTCCATGCTTGGAATTTATTGATGATACCATTTTCATATCTATGTTATCCGTAGTATCAATATTATTAAATTCACCCCCCCCAGATGATGTATAAGGGAATCACTCCACTTTATAGAAGTTTTTACAGTCCACTTCTCTAAATTTATTTTCAATTAATTATTTCTTTAAATATTATATGTAGATTAAATGGTGGAGAAATTTTCCCCCACAGCATGAACGCAGAGCATGAACGCAGGGCACGAACGCAGAGCACGAACGCAGGGCATGAACGCAGGGCACGAACGCAGGGCACGAACGCAGGGCACGAACGCAGGGCACGAACGCAGGGCATGAACGCAGGGCATGAACGCAGGGCACGAACGCAGGGCATGAACGCAGGGCACGAACGCAGGGCATGAACGCAGGGCATGAACGCAGGGCACGAACGCAGGGCATGAACGCAGGGCACGAACGCAGGGCACGAACGCAGGGCATGAACGCAGGGCACGAACGCAGGGCACGAACGCAGGGCACGAACGCAGGGCATGAACGCAGGGCACGAACGCAGGGCACGAACGCAGGGCACGAACGCAGGGCATGAACGCAGGGCACGAACGCAGGGCATGAACGCAGGGCATGAACGCAGGGCATGAACGCAGGGCATGAACGCAGGGCATGAACGCAGGGCAGGAACGCAGGGCATGAACGCAGGGCACGAACGCAGGGCACGAACGCAGGGCATGAACGCAGGGCATGAACGAACGCAGGGCATGAACGCAGGGCATGAATGCAGGGCATGAATGCAGGGCATGAACGCAGGGCATGAACGCAGGGCATGAACGCAGGTGAACGCAGGGCATGAACGCAGGGCATGAACGCAGGGCATGAATGCAGGGCATGAACGCAGGGCATGAACGCAGGGCATGAATGCAGGGCATGAACGCAGGACATGAACGCAGGGCATGAACGCAGGGCATGAACGCAGGGCATGAATGCAGGGCATGAATGCAGGGCATTAATGCAGGGCATGAACGCAGGGCATTAATGCAGGGCATGAATGCAGCACGTCCTCTGCTGCCAAGTTATACCAAATAACTTGAAAGCTCAATTTAATAAAGTTTTGACCGTAATAATATTAAATTGTTTGAGAAAAAGTTAGACAATGCAGGCTCAGGTCCGTGAATGCAGGCTCAGGTCCGTGAATGCAGGCTCAGGTCCGTGAATGCAGGCTCAGGTCCGTGAATGCAGGCTCAGGTCCGTGAATGCAGGCTCAGGTCCGTGAATGCAGCCTCATGTCCGTGAATGCAGGCTCATGTCCGTGAATGCAGCTTCATGTCCGTGAATGCAGCCTCATGTCCGTGAATGCAGCCTCATGTCCGTGAATGCAGCCTCATGTCCGTGAATGCAGCCTCATGTCCGTGAATGCAGCCTCATGTCCGTGAATGCAGCCTCACGACAAGCAGACTACCTTAACCACCATTATCATTTTAATGGTGGTTTAAGTTATGTCAGTGAATCTAGGAATGATAATTTGGAGTTAGCTTCAATTTCCTGAAGAAAATGACAAGTTGAATTGTTTATAACTCCAATAAGAAAGGAGTGTAATGACATGCGATCAGTGATTACTGTTTACAACACCACTGTCTGTGCTTGTGACTTGAAAATGCTGGCTGGTTGTTCACTAGGCTTTGTGGCGGACTTCATATAACTCCAGAGGGTGATAGGCCTTAATAACTCTCCAGAGGTTGATAGGCCTTAATAACCCTCCAGAGGGTGATAGGCCTTAATAACCCTCCAGAGGGTGATAGGCCTTAATAACCCTCCAGAGGGTGATAGGCCTTAATAACCCTCCAGAGGTTGATAGGCCTTAATAACCCCCCAGAGGTGGATAGGCCTTAATAACCCTCCAGAGGTTGATAGGCCTTAATAACCCTCCAGAGGTTGATAGGCCTTAATAACCCTCCAGAGGTTGATTGGCCTTAATAACCCTCCAGAGGTTGATAGGTCTTAATAACCCTCCAGAGGTTGATAGGCCTTAATAACCCTCCAGAGGTTGATAGGCCTTAATAACCCTCCAGAGGTTGATAGGCCTTAATAACCCTCCAGAGGTTGATAGGCCTTAATAACCCCCCAGAGGTGGATAGGCCTTAATAACCCTCCAGAGGTTGATAGGCCTTAATAACCCTCCAGAGGTTGATAGGCCTTAATAACCCTCCAGAGGTTGATAGGTCTTAATAACCCTCCAGAGGTTGATAGGCCTTAACAACCCTCCAGAGGTTGATAGGCCTTAACAACCCTCCAGAGGTTGATAGGCCTTAATAACCCTCCAGAGGTTGATAGGCCTTAATAACCCTCCAGAGGTTGATAGGCCTTAACAACCCTCCAGAGGTTGATAGGCCTTAATAACCCTCCAGAGGTTGATAGGCCTTAATAACCCTCCAGAGGTTGATAGGCCTTAACAACCCTCCAGAGGTTGATAGGCCTTAACAACCCTCCAGAGGTTGATAGGCCTTAATAACCCTCCAGAGGTTGATAGGCCTTAACAACCCTCCAGAGGTTGATAGGCCTTAACAACCCTCCAGAGGTTGATAGGCCTTAATAACCCTCCAGAGGTTGATAGGCCTTAACAACCCTCCAGAGGTTGATAGGCCTTAACAACCCTCCAGAGGTTGATAGGCCTTAATAACCCTCCAGAGGTTGATAGGCCTTAATAACCCTCCAGAGGTTGATAGGCCTTAACAACCCTCCAGAGGTTGATAGGCCTTAACAACCCTCCAGAGGTTGATAGGCCTTAATAACCCTCCAGAGGTTGATAGGCCTTAATAACCCTCCAGAGGTTGATAGGCCTTAATAACCCTCCAGAGGTTGATAGGCCTTAACAACCCTCCAGAGGTTGATAGGCCTTAACAACCCTCCAGAGGTTGATAGGCTTTAATAACCCTCCAGAGGTTGATAGGCCTTAATAACCCTCCAGAGGTTGATAGGCCTTAATAACCCTCCAGAGGTTGATAGGCCTTAACAACCCTCCAGAGGTTGATAGGCCTTAATAACCCTCCAGAGGTTGATAGGCCTTAATAACCCTCCAGAGGTTGATAGGCCTTAACAACCCTCCAGAGGTTGATAGGCCTTAATAACCCTCCAGAGGTTGATAGGCCTTAACAACCCTCCAGAGGTTGATAGGCCTTAATAACCCTCCAGAGGTTGATAGGCCTTAACAACCCTCCAGAGGTTGATAGGCCTTAACAACCCTCCAGAGGTTGATAGGCCTTAATAACCCTCCAGAGGTTGACAGGCCTTAACAACCCTCCAGAGGTTGACAGGCCTTAAGCCCAATAACATTGGGACAAAATACATGGCAGTCACCACTAGCAGTTTAATACATAATTACAATAATTAACTAACTTAAAAATGCAATATTCGCCAATTGAAGACCCGAAAATAACAATAATAACCTAACTGATCGTTATAATTGAAGATAATATACAATATCCTAGTTTACAGAATTTAAAATATATTCTTCATGCTTTTCTAAAGAAAGAAGTAGAGTATTAGGCTTTAATTTAAATTACAGAACAAAAATTATCGTTCATATGATTCTTTGAGCTTTAAGTGGAAACTGAACGGAATAAAAAAAATACGGATGAAATCATTAGTATTCCATTGATGACTCTGGCCACTACACGGCTGCTTGGAGTAATTACCCCGTGATTGGCGGATACGGCCCGTGACGTCACCGGGCCGCGGAGGCTGGGGGCGCTGTGATTGGTGGAAGAGACATGTGATGTCACTGGGCCGCGGAGGCTGGGGGCGCGGTGATTGGTGAAAGAGACATGTGATGTCACCGGGCCGCGGAGGCTGGGGGCGCTGTGATTGGTGGAAGACATGTGATGTCACCGGGCCGCGGAGGCTGGGGGCGCTGTGATTGGTGGAAGAGACATGTGATGTCACTGGGCCGCGGAGGCTGGGGGCGCGGTGATTGGTGAAAGAGACATGTGATGTCACCGGGCCGCGGAGGCTGGGGGCGCTGTGATTGATGGAAGACAGGTGATGTCACTGGGCCGCGGCGGCTCTGTGTTGTGATTTGTAGATAAATGTAAATGATGTCATAGGTTAGATTAGGTGATTACTCCCACATTGGTCAAGAAGATTTGTGACGCCACAACATTTGTTGATCAAATTATCAGCTTTTCGCGCGCGAGACGAGTAAAGGCTAAAAAAAAGGACATGAGGCTTGCGCAGTCACGCACGGTGGCTTAATCAGTCAGCTGTTTTGCCCGAAAACAAGATTTTGTTCAGTTTTGCCCGAAACGCTAAGCGTGCTAGTGGCTTTACAAGAATGTTAAATCAACTTAATTTCTATGTTCTCTGTTAACCCCCAATGTACCTTCTTGTATATATATAAATAAATAAGGTAATGAGTCACCAGTTCGCCCAGTCACAACACTCACAACTGAACCATAATTTAGCGTTTCCAGCAAACTGGCAATCGGGCGATAATTGACCAGTTACAAAACACGTAGCTGTGTGTACAGCTACAGCTGCACGTAGCTGTGAGTACAGCTACAACAGCACGTAGCTGTGAGTACAGCTACAGCTGCACGTAGCTGTGAGTACAGCTACAGCAGCACGTAGCTGCGAGTACAGCTACAGCAGCACGTAGCTGTGAGTACAGCTACAGCACCACGTAGCTGTGAGTACAGCTACAGCAGCACGTAGCTGTGAGTACAGCTACAGCAGCACGTAGCTGTGAGTACAGCTACAGCACCACGTAGCTGTGAGTACAGCTGCAGCAGCACGTAGCTGTGAGTACAGCTACAGCACCACGTAGCTGTGAGTACAGCTACAGCAGCACGTAGCTGTGTGTACAGCTACAGCTGCACGTAGCTGTGAGTACAGCTACAACAGCACGTAGCTGTGAGTACAGCTACAGCTGCACGTAGCTGTGAGTACAGCTACAGCACCACGTAGCTGTGAGTACAGCTACAGCAGCACGTAGCTGTGTGTACAGCTACAGCAGCACGTAGCTGTGAGTACAGCTACAGCAGCACGTAGCTGTGAGTACAGCTACAGCTGCACGTAGCTGTGAGTACAGCTACAGCAGCACGTTGCTGTGTGTACAGCTACAGCTGCACGTAGCTGTGAGTACAGCTACAACAGCACGTAGCTGTGAGTACAGCTACAGCTGCACGTAGCTGTGAGTACAGCTACAGCTGCACGTAGCTGTGAGTACAGCTACAGCTGCACGTAGCTGTGAGTACAGCTACAACACCACGTAGCTGTGAGTACAGCTACAACACCACGTAGCTGTGTGTACAGCTACAACACCACGTAGCTGTGAGTACAG